GTGGCCACAGACCTCCAAATGACTGATAATCCTTGCTCTGATATATTCTTTGTCATTACACTTGATGTTATATTAAATTAAATGAACTTCATTATTCAGTTATAAGATAATATATCAACAGTAGAATACATCAGGATGTGTAACGATAGCGTATTAAAACATTACATTCAGTTTCAGATACACCCATACTCCTTATATAATTATGAATTAAATTCTTAGACATTATACAATTGGTATACAATATATATATATATATATATAGTATAGAATTTCAGCTGAAGTTTGAGGTTAGGGAAGACCGACAGTTTTTGTGAAATATACTCACCAAAAATAATATTTTTACATAACCACTTTACTCTTCTGTGCACCGTTCAAAAGAAATGGAATATCGGTAATATTACTACATTTTTATAAGCGAAAGCATTCATATTTTTTTTGTGGAATATATTAATTAAAAAAGCCGTAGTTATATTATAGGTGTTATACCAGATGAATATATTAATATGTCCATTTTACGAGGCGCGTCCACAAAGTAAGTTTCCCACTCGTCTCACAGCTAGCAAACCTTATATTGCGCGAAGCGGCTGTGCGTACGTGATAGAGCAATGACGTAGCATGGCGCATGCACTAACGGTACTTCCCGCGTTCTTACAGTAGCATCGTTGCAGCTGTTGAAGATGGAGGTTCTTATTCCAGCTCCCGCCGCCTGTGAAGTGCGGTCAGTGATAACGCTAGGCCGCACCCGGCTCGACGGACAGCAAGTCTCCTGCAGGAGTTCAGCTGGGAGGTGTTTAATCATTCACCCTACAGCCCGGATCTCGCTCCCAGTGATTTCCATCTTTTCCTACCCCTCAAGAAATTCCTGTCCGGTCAGCGTTTTGAGAATGACAGAGAGGCGGAGATGGTTGTCACACAGTGGTTCCAATCCCAGGCGGCAGACTTCTACGACCCAGGTATTCAAAAGTTGGTCCCACGGTATGACAAATGTCTCGATTCCGGTGGCGAATATGTTGAAAAATAGCTGGACACTTGCTGTATCTGTTGCAATAAATATTTCCATGAAATTGTGTTTTGTTTCTGTAAACGGCCCCAGGGAAACTTACTTTGAGGACGAGCCTCGTATAATAGGAAAGCCTGGTTCTAGATGAGGGAACAATATTCTGAACACCACTTACCAGTCACTATGGTAACATCTGAGGTTCTCACAACAGTGAAGACGTCAATGTTGATCTTCTGGGTAAAAACAACACGTGGACCTGTCGGTAGACAACACTTTGGAGAAACGTACTGTTTCCATCTAAAGGGCTGATCATCAGTTACATTTTAGGTACTGAAAAAAATAAATGTATCTTTCCAACAGGTGCCTCTGATGACTGGGCAAAGGGAGTGGCAGGAATCAAGTACTCATACACCATTGAGCTCCCTGACACGGGTAGCCACGGCTTCGTGCTGCCGGCCCACGAGATCGAACCGGTGGGACAAGAAACATGGGCTGCAGTTAAGGCCATCACAAGGCACTTCACAGATGCACGTGTCCCATGATATCACGCCATGAGACGAGGCGACAAGAATACGAATGCGAGACATACCTTGAGCTTCTTCATATCCTGACATAACTTAATATTCTCGCGTTGGTAGCCCAGCATCAGCTGTTCGTGTTGTTGCAACTCTGTCTCCAGAAGGGCGATTCTATGTTCCTTGGCAGCGACATCTTTAATGAGGCGATTACCATCTCCTTTCTGAACTAAGGGACTCTCACGTTGTTTCTCGAAATCAGCAATCTGTGGTATATCATAGGCTATGCAGCAACTCACATCACAATACACCATAAGTAAACACATATTTATATAAAGCAGTGAACAATTCAGTCAACATAAAAATGTATTATCAGAAACAAAGTAATAAAAGTTTTTCTCTAGTCACTACTTAAAGATCCATAATATTGTCTAGTATGTAAGATCACCTGAAAATTATTGTAGATAACAAAATGGATAAGAATAAAATATTTATTGCACAACACAAACCAGCTTTGTCTCATGTAAGTGCCACTGGAATTCTCCAGAAAATCTTAATTATCTTCCTTATTTTAAATTTTGTTTGTTATTTCTGCAAAATTAAATATTATATCAAAGAAATTTATAAAGTGTATTTTCCTTAACACATTATTAGGAATCTTACATGTAACCTGACAAATATTTGAACACGCATTTCAAAAATAACTTTTAACCACCTCCTCCTCCTCCTCTGAATGACTGAAAAGATAAAAGAAATGCCACTGTGGTTCTTTTAGTACAGATAACCAATATATTTATTTATTTATAAAAAATATATTTTGATAAGAATATTAAAAGAGACACAGGGGTACAAAAAAGCTAATAATCATATCTGCGGAAAGAGAACAAAAAATGGAACGAAAAAAAAATTACCTTTGCATTCAGAATGTAAATATCCCTCTTCAGAGCGAACATCTCTTCTTCGTGTTTGCATTTCAATGCGTCCAGCTGCCTTTTGTGTCCCTGCTCCTCAGATTCAAGCTTAGCTTAAAACAAAACAAAAAAATTCATAATCCAGCACCTTTTTTTTAAAGAAACAAAAATGTGTTGCTGTGATGTTGCATCAAAGTCAAGTGAAAACAAAAGTAATGCAACACCTGTAACATGCATTGGATAAGAAAATGATAAGAGAGATTTGGTCAGAAAACCTCAATGGAAAAAGATAACTCACTGGGCTTTTCTGAACATGATAATAAACCATCAGATCGTATAGAAGCTGAAAATACCTTCATTGACTAACTGTAGACTTTTCTTTACCTATCGTTTTGCTTAAGTGAAACATCATCTTAGCTTAAGAGAAGAATATAAATTACAAGTGTTTGAAAACAAAGAGCTCAGGAACAGGTTTGGACCAAAGAAGGATGAAGGATGAAGAGTGTTTGAAAACAAAGAGCTCAGGAACACGTTTGGACCAAAGAAGGATGAAGGATGCAATTCAGGAGATTTTATAATGAGGAATTTTGTGTAAAACTTAGGAGACTGACTGAGCATTATCACTAAGGAAAGCAAAGAGACAAGAAATGCAGGAATAATTTTTGTGGAGAACTCTCATGGAAAACAGCACCTTGGGAAACTGAGAGGTAAGAGAATAAGACAATAATTAAGGAAATGGATTACGTGGAGGGGAAGTAGATAGAAATTACTCATGATCATGTCAGGCTTTAACGATGGCAGTCACGATAAACTTTAGTTATCAAGTATCAGTATTACAAAACTTACCTTTAAGTTGCGATGAAGTGCTTTGTTCCTGAAGAAGCTCTTCTAAACTGGTCATCGTACTAGCGTCCTTCAACTTGTCCACGTGTAACGCGGGCTCTGATACGTTGGAATCTTCCACTACAGCTGACTGATCCCTTTTATGAAACAAAGTACCAACATCACCCCGCAAATCTACCATCGTATTCCCGGCACTATCGTCACGACCAAATATATTTTCCATTTCTTTCTCTATGTTCAGTGACGAATGGTCAGAGTCCTGACTATAATTTTTCTCTGATTCTTGCAGTGCTGGAACTACCTCATTTCTCGCTTCACCGTCAATAAGGCAGAAGATCGCCTCTGGAGTGGTAACCATATCACCGTGTTGTATCAATGGAGCAGAAACCGACACCTCTTTGGTGACTCGGTCCACGCGTTTATCATCCGTTGCGGACGAAGCGTCTCGAGTGCTCTGTTGCACGGCAGAACTTCCCAACGCAAACAAGGCATCATTTTCGCTAGATATTTCACCTGATTTTATATTGGAAATACTTTCCACCTGCTGTAATTTTTTTCTAGAAGTTTCTACTGTATCTTCATGTTTCTTACTAATGGTATCTGTTGGTTTTGGAAACAAATGAAGACCATCTTCAAATGTTACAGTCCTGTCCTTCTTCGACGAATCTCTTTCTTTCCTTGTACTACCTGAAACGTTTCCTAAATGCTTCCCAGATTTTGAGTCTGATATGACACTACCTACTTTTATTTCACTTAACCTTGCACCAATATCGTCATGTGTGTTTGAATAAGCGAGTTCTCTAGAATCACCAAACTTATTGTCACCATTGAACTCCTCCATGCCAGATTCACTACCTGTCCTCCTAGGGCTCATGCCCCTAAGCCGTTCACCTTTGTCCCTCATTTTTAAATTTGCAGATTTAACTTCCATTTTCCTATATGATGCTGAGACAGCACTTGCTCTATTTAAGCTACTTTGGGCTTTTTTGCCCTTTTCTTCAGTAATGAAACGTTTATCTGTTTTTTTAGAAGTTTTGGACTCGGGCGTTAGACCGACAGCTGTACTCCTATCGAGGCGTCGTGTTATTGGCAGGTCAAGCAAGTTGCTACTGTCCGACAGCCCTGAGAAACTGTAAGATGTTTCTCGTACGAGATCCTCTGCCTCTTTTAAGATTTCCTCCACACTCTTATCAGTTGCACTGTCATCTGAAACAAACGAACCAGAAAACACTGCTGAAGGTTTGCACATTTAAATATGTATATTATTTTACCCATTCATTTTTATATATTCCATATTTTAATTTTCTGTAATTACATTTATTATATTTGCATTTTTTATTTAAATTATTTTTACAAGCAATGTTTTAACATATGTGGCACGTATATGTTAAAATAAGCCAAGACCGCTTCCTCCACAGTACATTTCACTGTAAAATGTCTTATCCAGTGTTGCATATTTCACAAGTGAGAAAAACTGGAAAAAAAACATACACACACAAATGTGGGGGGAAAAAAATTACCTGCACTGCCAGCCAATTGGCTGAGTTGCTCCATAATACTACCAATGTCATCATCAGTAACATCATCACCTTGGAATTCAAAACCTACTGCAGGGCTGTCTGCTTCCGAAACACTGCTCCTTAGTTCCTTTCAAAACAACACAAAACTATATAGCGTCATCACCATTTTATCACATCCTTTTCCTCCCAAATCCACAGTTCTTTCTGACTGAGCTAATTCTGCTTGGATTTCATTCCAAAGAAAACAAATATATTTGTGATAAACCCATATAGCACTGAATTTGTCACCAAGATAATAAAGGTTCCATACTATTAAAGGATAAATCCTTCCTAACATAAATTACAGTGGCCACAACTTAAATCCAAGCTCCGATGACCATGGGAGAGAGTGAAAGACCACAAAGCAACAGCATGTATGGAGATATAACACAAACCTTTTTTGTATACTATCAGACATGAAATTACATTTAGGCTGCAGAAGTAGCACGTGCTGAATTAAGACATGTGCCTGCATTGCTTGTGTTTTATAATTCCTTTGGTTCGCAAAATATATTCTAGTGTGTAGTCAGTACATGAAAATGTAAAATATTTTGTAGATTAAAAAGGGGAAAAATATTCTTTCAGTTACACTATACATGCTCGGACAGATTCCTTGCCATCCTGCTCTTCCTTGCAGTTATTTTGCATCCACTGTATGTATGATGACATTCAACTCATGAAACACTGTTATAAAACAGTTCTTACAGGTTAAGTTCAGACCAGAGCATAGCCTGACATGCCCTATGAGTTCATGTTAGCATTTCGTTTAATTATAAAACTATATTTACTGGTACAGAATAGCAAGCATTGTGTAGCATAAGATATCAACACTATATTCTCATACTAACATTGCATAATTTCTCCTTCTCAAGAAATTCTGCCATTGAAGATGACAGGTTAGGGGATACAGTAACATGTGTCTTTGCTACATCAATATTCTTCATGGTTGCTGATACAGAAGCTTGTCCCCTCTCCATCTGAGAACTATCACTGGAAACTCCAGTTTCTACACGCAATTTTTCTGCCTGAGGTCTCTCTTTCATCCACCAAAAGTTCCTAGGTGCTGGGGACAATTCTTCCATATTTGTTTCATGTTTGGTACTGGAACTGGTGTCAGCAGACTCGCCAGACAAAGGCTTTAAACACAAACAGAAGATAATTTTTCGTATAAATCCATAGACCCATTATGTGACACAACCATTTTATTAATTCTGAAACCCTGCAAACTTTACGAATAGCAACAACTGATATTTCAAATACTTGTGTGTATACTAACCTCTTTCAAAAATTCCTCAAACTGCGAATCTAGATACGACATTGTGATTGAATCCTATTATTCGTTAACAGAATATCAACATACATCAATATTATTGGTTTATCAACACAATACCATATTTAATGAACGTAAATGAAGGGTATAGTTCTGAATTTTCCGACATTTAAAATCTACAGTTTATGAAAACGGAAGTTGATAAAAGCGGAATTTACTTCTTGCTACCACAGATGAATACCTTTGATACGTACTACAGCATAGAATAATAGCAAATTACTGCAGCCCCAAGTCCTCGGTTGCCTGTTGTAGAATGCCGTGATGATGTTGATGCTAGTTATTTTCCACAAGATGGCACGAAAATTTCCATATCCATTTCAGGAACTCACGGCGGATAGTTTGAAGAAGATGTCTTCTGTGATGTTATGCAGTGTAAGTCTCGCAAACATAAATAAACTTTTCAGAAGACCTTATTGCCTCCAATATCTGAAACATGATCAGTGCAGTAAGGACCTCTGAAACGTCAGTCTATTTCTACAAGACTATATCGTGCAACATCCTAGAAGAGAGTCGTCTTCGACAACCATTCGACAGCAGATTCAGTAAATACAAAATATAACCATTAGCTAATTTTTAGTAACATATAACCAGAGCTTCAGTTGAGTCAATCAGACTTTTAACACATTAACATACTCCCTAGAAATAATGATCAAAATGTGACTTACCTTTATTTTAGTCCTTTGTCAATCTTTTTCTGTAATTTTTCAGATCATGTCTATTTTTACATGATAATTTACAGTGTATATTTTTGGATAGTCAAGAGCTCTCCTTAAAAGATAAGGTGATAAAATTTGTCTATTTTTTATTAATTATATAGTACTTCAACAGATCATTGCTGCCTCCATCATCAGGGCAATGAGAAATACCATCGTCCTGATGATAGAGGCAGCGTGGACCTCTAAAATGTTGGTAAACTGCTATCAGACTACATGAAGCTACTCGAAGCAGTCCTTCATTTATCACTGATACTACCTTCCTCACTAGGCATTTCTGATAAAAGTACTTGAAAAAAATTATAATGCTTATGGCTAGGTGTTGGAAGTGGCCTGCACACATTACTGGAAAGATTGCTATTTTTTATAACAGATATCTCTCTTGGATGAAGAGAACATTGATCTATGAAAGAGCGTTATTTTCTCATTGTTTATGTACGTTTGCATCTAGGATTCTTAAACGGTTCAAGATGGTATCATCAGACAATTTTAAAACAACAGAAACTGGTTTTTACAATCAGGAGTGTTAACTTGTCTGACCCATCAAGACCTGTAGTTCCATTTTTCCGTTTTCTGCTGCCATGACAAAATCTACCACTCACAGCAGGCACTTTATTGGGTGGTAGATTAGGAATAATTCATGTTTCCCGTGCATTGTGGTTCACACACAGCCATCCTGATTTCCATAAAGCCACTATTTCCAGGTTTATGCTTTTTCTTTCTCCAGATACAATCCTACAGGTTATGTTATGTTATCCAGCTGATGGAAGCAGTAAGATTATCTGCTGTCTGCAAGATGTAGCACCTTCTCTTTGAGGTTAGGACCACTTACTTCAGAGTTACACATATGGGCCTGATTAAATCATGTAATAAGTTTTAATATTGGAGACATTTTTATCACTAATTGAATGCCTTTCTTTTTACTGAATCGTTAATTGTATAGACTTTAACCCACTTACAGTCATTAAAGGGGATACATAAACACACCATGAGCCATCTGTTTCTAGCTTCACTAATTACTGATAATACATATGTTGCTATGGTCACCAGAGAGTGTCTTCAGCTGAATTTTGGAAGGAGGATATTGTGTTCTAAGTGTTTACAAAAGAAGGAAAAGGCCAATTAAAAAAAAACTACATCTGCCAGGATTGAACACCATGCTAATTTCTGCTAATAATAGCTATTAAAGCTGTAGGTGAACCATTTGCAGTGGTGCCAAATTTCTCCAAAAGTGTATACAATTTACATAAGGGGCACAATACAAGACATACAAAAGATGAATATCAAGTTCTGCATTGATTTCTGAAACTTGTCACACACGTTGTGCGCAGAAATGCAAAAATCCATCATTTTTATGAACACTGGACATTGGAACATAATTTCACAAAGTCAGATATGTGAAACATAAAACTGAATAAAATGTTATATTGTTTTCATGAACTATTATTTGCTGTGACAGAAAAGATTTACAAAACCTAAAAAAATAAATAAATAAGCTGAAAATGCAAAATCAAAGTTTCGCTACAAAACTTTTGGAGTCCTACCCTGCCTGTGGCTCAAAACATCATGAAACACTATACTGTGCCAATATAGGATAAACATGACAGTGGAGACAGCCCTTTCTTTCATGCTGAGAATCACACTGTTCTGCCAATAATTACCACTCGGTATAATTCACATGTCATTTATTGCATTTCCTTTCAAATACTTCACTGAGTCAATTACTAAAATGTTCTCATAATAAAACAGGGTCCATTTCATTATGTAGGCCATGATTCCAAAAGGGCAAGTATTATAGAAAAACAATTCCATCCAAAACTGTTTGGATTGATATGCAGATTGCATCTAACTGATTCTGGTTTATGTGGTACCATAAAAACAGCTGAAGTACTAAAATTGTTATTTTAACCGTATCTAAGGATATAAATTAAATTATCCTTCGTGAATGTAAATAAGTTTTACTATAAAACCAGAATCCCATTAGTGAAGCCTGCAGACCAGTCGTGGATACATTAGGTGCTACGTAACTAGTCTACACTAATCGACACACAGCACCATTTTAGATGAGATGTGTGGTCCAGCATGAAGAAGCAGAGTTTTACCATATACGTGTGTGTGTGTGTGTTGTTTTATGGCCTTGTTGCCATTTTTCTCTTATATGATTAACTCTGCTTTAATATCTTACAATAAAATTGGTCCATGCATTATATTAAGAGCCTTTTTAAAATATTTAGATCTAAATCAGAATGGAAAGGGGGCATACCTTAAGATGCAGGCATGCATTCTACACACAGATGTACACACACCAACAAAAGCGACAACATACAGGATCCACATTCTGGAAAGGATATATCGGGTGTACCCCTGGAAGAAAAAGAAAATATCATTCATGCAGGAAGCAAGTAAAGAAACACCGAAAGCTGGTACATGCCACTTTCCGTCGACACAACAGAAACTTGTGGATACAAGGAATGAAACATTGGAAATTCCTTGGTAAGGTAGTTTTTTTATTTAGTTATCTTTTAAATTTTATTTCAACCCGCATTATTATCTCAAGTCTTGTGTTTTTAAATTATTTGAGCTTGTTTTGTTTTTTTTAGAAATTATTAAAGTTCATCCTAAACAAAAACTATAAATATATTTTTTGTTACATTCAAATGTTATCAGTTTTCATTCACTCTAGAACTGCATTCACAGGTCCTGACAAGTACCAGGTACGTCTCTGCTCAAGCTAGGCCTCAACTGGGCTGAACGCTCTAGGGTAACTAAACTAAAGCCTCAAATGCACCACTTAAAAAAATACATGTCTTAAAAATTTGGCAGTAAGGATTAGGGAGTCATTTTTGTGGGGGTTGAACATGAATGACTTGGTATGTCCGATGCTCGTCTATTAAAGGTCGTATGCAGAGGACAACCTGGCACATCTCAGGCCATGCAACAAAAGATTTACACACTAACTGCACAAATTATGACATTCCATTTTAATTAACTTCTTTCATCTGAAGGAAGCTCTTTGGTATGGTTTTAAAATCTTTGTTTAAAATCTATACAGTATCTGTATTAATTTAATAGTTTCATTGTTTTTTAAACAATTATAACAATTATATATGCTTTCATTTAAATCCTTTCTCAAGTTAATGCTAAAGATGCAGAACATATCATTTAACAAATACAAATTTTTGCAGGAAAACTACCCCGTTCTGCTAACGCCAGCATGCTGGAGTTGACGTAACAAATGTAGCAGTAACCTTTAATTTCTTTAACTGATGCTTAATTTTCCCTGTTTATCAGAAAAGAATCTTCTTCACTAAAACATACAACACGAACAGCGATCAGTTGCCTGAACCATCATATCACATGGTATCCCACTTTGACCAACTGACATGTCGCTTTGTGCGTCTTGCAATTACCAGTAACATTCTGTCTTTCTGTATGGAAAATTTCAAACAAAACGGTTGTTCGACTTGCGCGTTAATCTAAATGCCCCCATGCTGAACTCCTGTCTACTTTTGACACTCCCACTAGACTAAACTTATAATATCTGTTATCAATACCTGGCCGTCACTTTGCCGTCGACTGTCATTATCGGTTTCGTATTTTCACGTGGTTTTTTTGCGAGCTAGGTTTAATATTTCAGTTAACCACGTGTCCAGTGTGGCCTGAATACTTGTGAAGCAACTGAAACAGGTTATCTGTCGCGCTCAGTCTATGAGAATGTGGAAACTAAGGCATAGCCCAAAATGTTTGAGTGATAATTGTTGGTTTCCTTGATAGTCTGTTGCTTCCAACATCCGAGGCACTTGCGTCAGCCCACTTTGATCCAGCGGTCGATGGAGTACTCGAGTGCTGCCAACCACCTATGAACACGAGAGAGAACAACATGGCTGATCATTTAAACAAAATGGTTTTGAGAGTGTAAAATGGATGGAACTGGTTCAAATCAGAATCTTTTGTGAAATTTCTTATTTTAACCATGTCAGATCACGAGTTTCTAATATATGAACATTATATACAGAACATTCCATGGAAGAGAATTTAAATTTAATATGAAAAAACATAACAAATTTCTATGCTAATGGATTACCACGTTGAAACTACTGCAAAGAATCGATATAAGGCAAAATAAAACATGAGACACTTTACAAACCAAGCAACAAGTACTCCACAATTTTCTCCTTTCAGTTAGTAAAATTTAACCTCTACGCTTCATATAACATGATTAAATTAGATATGATCTCAATATTATTTCAGGATTTAGACATGAATATATTATTTTTTTATTTTTTAAAATGTAATTTGTCAGACTTTATTACCTTTTCTTGTCCATCTCTGTGTCTGTATGAAAGTAGTAGTGTCTTTGGCGAGGTTCAGGAGGCAGGATCTCAAATGCGAATCGCTTCCCTCCTACAGTAGAGTTCTGCACTCGGTAGCCATGCAGGCATACCATACCTAGCAACATGAAATATAACTCTCGAATCGAACAGTCTACACGTAAGCGTTCTGTCGTGGATTTGAGTTTACTTCTTATATCTCCGATCGGTACATAATAAATTAGTAACTATACAAAAATTATATTGTCACTCGATGTGATATAGCATTCATCATGACAAGTTTTGTACTCAAAAAATCGTGAATAAAATGTACCTAGGGCTGCATCGATGTGATATAGCATTCATCATGACATGTTTTGTACTCAAGAAATCGTGAATAAAGTGTACCTAGGGCTGCGTCCGAGCTGCCGTCCTGGTAGAAATAAAGACACGCATCCTTAAGCACACAGTAGCGCCGTTTCCATGCCTTCCACTTGTGGCCTAACTTCATGACGTAGCCGAAACAGTCCGGCTGCTGCACGGCGCTGGCTGCCAACTTCAAGTTCCTATTGCTAATGTCCAACCACTGGTCCACCTGAGAGTATAATATATGAAAATCAAGCACGACTTCTGAAACTTTCATTCAAGCACCTAAGAAGACTGTAAAGATGCACGCCAGTTTGGGAGGGGGGGAGGGGAACCTTTGTTTGTGACTTCGTACCCTTCAGTAATTCTAATGTTTTTATATTGCAGATACAACATATTGCTGCCAGCGGATCAATACTTCACCACATGCAGTAATTAATTCTGTTACTAACATTGAAAATCAACGTAAATATAATTTCTTATTGCCCCATGATTCTGTGCTCTAAGTACGAGAATAAAGTCTACTGTCAGTCATTTAAGATGAAAGTAGACACAGCTAATTTTTCAAAACATTGTGAAATTTCAGGTTCTCATGGTTTTGCAAAGATGACTATCTTCAGTGATGTCGTGCCACGTAGTCTCATAGAAATCTACCGACATTTCAGGGGTGCTTAGTGCCTCCATTTTCAGGGTAACTGTATGCAGTAAACACATTTGAAATTTTGGTCAATTTCTGCAACACAACGTCCCAGAAGACGGTCATTTTCTCTGGACATCATCAAGCTTTATCACCATCCACTACTAATATGAGCATCGATTAAACTGTCAGTCACTTAAACCTGAAGATGGTGGCTACAGTGAGTCCAAAACACTGGAAATCCAGCTCACCAAAATACAATAACATCCTGAAAGAATGAAGACATGACCCTGTACAAAGTATCATGAAATGCCAATTTACGATCTCACCTGAGCATTTCGTTCTATGGAGTGGCTGATTACCGCAACCCACCGCATAACTGATTCCTCATCGTCGGCAGCCAGATGGAGTCCTGAAGCACCGGTCTTATCTAGGAGGAAACTGTAGAGCCGTCCACTGTCGGGCGTGCGTGACACACTGTAGTTCAACAGCATCAGAGCTCCAAGTGGCTGGCTTTCCTAAGTCACAAAATAAGTCTACTCTAGTCCAGCAATTACTGAACTGTAAATGTTAACTGTAAATTATAGCAGGAAACATGACTGCGCCAAATAACGGAATATTTCCACGTACCGCATCGTTCTTGTAGTAATAGAGACAGTTGTCTCTTTTGAGACAGAACCATCGCTGCACCCACTTGGACCCATTGTTCAGTCCACCCAGTTTCCACAGGTACCCCGAGTATAGGGGACTGCCAGCACCGGGCTCCCTCACCACGGGCGTCAACACATTGCATGTCCGAGCGACCTCCAACTCCAGAGTGTCTGACCCTGCTGACACCGTCACACAGTTTTATAGCAACAACTGCCACCGATGACAGTGCACATGCGGAAAATAATTACGACAAAACGCTGTATGTAAATGTGGCTTGTTGATATTATGAGCGTTAATAGCAGACTTAATTTGCAGGTGGAACGCTTTAAAGAAAAGTGGGTTTAACTTGTGAGTGTGGCTGTACAACACTGTTACTAGACAGCCAGTACCTGCATGTGCTATCTTGACAACTTCGGAGTGGGATGCTTCTAGGACATTGACGCTGTTGATGCTGATGATAATGTCCCCGACCTCAAGTCCGGATGTCTCGGCTGGAGTGTCGGGTTCGATGGCAGACACGACGACGGGGCGAGAACCGTGTATCCGGAACCCAAACTCTCCCGAGTCTCGCCTCACCACCACTGTTTTGTCGCACTCTGCAATACCAGTAACTTTCTGTATTTTTTTTACTGAACACAATGACGTTAAGCACAAAAGTGTTATTGCGGCGTTGTTTCCTACGAGACTGTCAGCTGGAAATGAGGTCACATCCTGTAAGAACTGGCTCGGAATCAAATCTGGAACTGCTGAAACTAAAAACTGTGGTTTCTGTCTTGATTTATTTAAAGATTTTATCAACTGCATAGATTATATTACACTTGACGACATGCCGATTGCGCATGATGACCTGTGAAGGATATGTATGAAGCAAGTCACTGTATATTTTAAAGTACCGGCCTTTCATTTGTCTTCGAAGATCAAGGGACACGAAGAAACCTGTGAAGACATTCCGTGCATGAAATTTCAAATAATTCTACATTACAGCAGATGGTCATATACTTACCAAAGAGCTTACAGAGGTAAGGCAAAATTATGGGGTTTGGGGGCCCCAAATTCTGATATCACTGTAGCTCACATCTTTAGAGCATTTAAAACACAGCGTGTTTGTGTGGTAACCGTGGACTTGAATGAAGGCCCTCTATTTGTTGATTATGGAACATCGCCAGTGTTCAAGACTTATGGAGATGCCATTCTATAGTACAAACTTCAGTCTTGCTTACAAGATGAAACATCAAAGTGTATGAAATCTATCGACTAAAACTGAGCAGAGTATGCAAATAATAACACGATGTAATGTCCACGTAAGTATAGAATATATTACATTTAAAAATGGTGGGCATAAATTGCAACGTGTGATCACTAAAAATCTCCTATTTTAAAACTGGGAAAACCTGTCCTTGAAAGTGTCAAAAGTGCTGAAATGCCTGGAGATCACGTACAAAATATCGTGTCACTAATACCAATAGCTATAGCTCGTACCAACATCACAATATAAAATAGCGTCAAATATGAATCATAACGTAGACTGCACAAACAACAAACCCCACAGTTAAAAATATCGATACTCATTCCACAGAGTCGTAACACAGTGAAACGTCTCAGAGACTCTTCCGGCGTGACGAATGATATTTGCCAAAAGGAAGGCGGATGACGCCTTGGCGTTGTGATTCACAGTGAAGTGAGGAGCTTACCATTAGGTTTGGCAGAGACTACCTTAACAGCCAGCGCCTCCTTACACCACACATTCAGCATCAGTTTCAGTAAATCCTCGAGAGACTGTCGGAGGGACCCGCGGACATGTGTATCTGCTGGCAGAAGCAAACACTTGTGTGATGAGTAACTTGTAAATCTCCCCGCTTAAATTTCATGCAGATCTGAGCAGTCGAAACAGATGCGTGGTAGAACTTTGCTGCGACTGAAGAATTTATCGTGTTTCTTTAAATAAATTAGAATCACAAATTCTTACAGACTGGTTGAAAGTGTTAACATTTGAAGCGAAGCAACAGATATGGAGAAACAGTTGTTATCACAGAAGTGAGAGGTGATTATTCGCTGAAGACCTACAAACGAGGGAAGTAACCTGAGGGCAATGCGTCCTTCAGAATGTAAAATAAGCATCTTCAGAGTGTATTTTATGTCCACTTCTACGTATTTCAAGGTAAGAATTGTGGGATTATATTGAAGATGAAGAAGAAACACTCATTAAAATAAGAGATCCATATAATCACACTGCTTAGAAATTAGAAGAATCAGAGACGGCAGTTAAATTCGATATAAAAAATAAGCATTTTAAAAAAAAAAGAAAATCTCAACATAAGCTACAGGCCTAACCCTAAATACGAGAGTAGAATTTGCGAGAATTGATTACATATTTATGACAACGTGTACGTAGCTCCGTAAGCCTTAAAAATGTAAATTGTGGATTCACAAAAAATTTAATAGGAAGTGTTATTAAAGAGTATTTAGATGCCGAGAGAAATAAAATTATTGGCAGTGACACGAAAAACAGGATTCTTCTTTGAAAGGCGTAATGCATTATTAAATGTTTTACGTCAGCGTCTTTCGAATAATATATGATGTTCTTAGAATTGCGGTTTTCTGAAGTTCCCCTCATGTCGTGTTCGCCCGGGATGTTGGCCAAATAATTTTTGAGAGACTTGGAGACAGTTCCAGTTCCTGCTAAAATTAGTGGAATAAATTTTGCTTTTCCTTGCCACACTCGTTGCATTTCAATGAGGAGGCCCTTGTATTTCAAGATCGTCTCCGTTTCCTTCTTAATTACATTTCTGTCGCTTAAACCACCTCGTCAGAGTTAGTTCGAAATAGGGCGTTAGTTAGAATGCTGTTAGTGCTTCAGTCTGTTCGGAAACGTCATTAAAAAACCATCCCTTCGACTGCACCAAACCAAGCAAGCGTTAGTTTTTCTTACTTCAAATGTTAGCGACAACAAAAAGTTTGTACGTACCGCAAACCATACTGTGGGCTTTCGACAGAGTAGGAGTAACCTACAGCGTGCAAAACCCGTGTCGTAGCTCACGGTCCACGTTCGATTTCTGATTGTTCGCCTGGTTTCCGCAGTCGCAGCAGAAAACTCTTGACATGCGCGACCTTGCTCGATATTCCTGGTGAGCTATTTACGTTTCTTCTTGACGTAATGCTGTAACTACGCCAGAAATTTCCCTCAACGAGTAACCATCACGCCCGCGATATGAACTCCGAAACTCAAAACAGTTACATCATTTTCCTGAAATATTAACGCATCGTTCGGCCGGATATTGTTTCGTTGTCTCATTGTTTTTGTCTTATTGTTTCGTTGTCTCATTGTTTTGTTGTCTCATGTTTTTGTCTTATTGTTTTGTTGTCTCATCGTTTCTGTCTCATTTTGTTGTTGTCTCATTGTTTTTGTCTTATTGTTTTGTTGTCTCATTGTTTTTGTCTTATTGTTTTGTTCTGTCTCATTGTAGGACCACTGCCACCGGGTAAAAACCCATTTGCAGTTAATAATAAATAATAAATCAAGGAAACGAGGAGTGAAGGCCCATTAAAACGTCTGCCACGTACATAAATTAGGTTAAACTGTTCTTTCGGGCTACGTCGATCGACTAAATACTATAAAACTACGATATTCCGAAAGCTTGACTCTGCTTCCATCATCGTCTGGTTACGTTGACCTCTGACCTAGACAGCGCTGGCATTCAAAATGTCACGACACAGTTGATTTTTCCTGCTCTCAACAATTTTTATATCTGTACGTAGCTTATGAATAACATTTGACGACTTCGAAATGCAATACGTAATATTTGCGATATAAAAAACTTACCTTTGGTGCGTCGTAAATAGAAAGCCTGTATGAATCACAGAATAAGCACGCCGTTAAACATTCCATGCCAAAAGAGGGTCACGCAGTCAGACTCACCGAACGACTTTGAAGCCAGGCGTTTGTACATTTCCACGCTCGACTTCCGGTGAACCATGCGATGAGTGATGGCCTGATACTTGCGCCGGAAGTCTTTCTCGGAGCCCGTCGATTCAGCGGAGTCCCTCCTCGTGCTCCCGGCTTGAGGCAACTCCTCCTCCCCCCACTCACCGCTTCGTTCCTCCGCTAAATTTGAGTAGGAGTGACATGACATGTAATAACTAGCCGGAAGCCCTTGAAAATGCCACAGAAATCTCAAAGAACAAATATTTTTCTAACCTCTGTCTTCTGCCTTGGTCTCAGGTTTCTGCCACACGTGCATCTCTTCGGAGTCGCCGATGTAGATCCACGTGCCGTTCTTGTATGATTCCGCATACACGCCGGAGTCCTCCTCGTCGCCCTCGCCCGCGGCCAGGTTCGACGTGCTGGTGTCGTGCACCGTCACGTTGGGGCTCGAGTCCGCGGCCCTCAGCATCTCCATGCTTGCGTCTGTCGACCGCGCAAGTGGCCTGAAGGCATTAAAACAAACCTTTAACTTGTCAGGCCTGCAAGATCTTCATGCATCTTGTGACTCGAAATGTGAATGTCATATGAGATGGCACCTGAGCTTAACTCGGTCCTCACGACCTCGTTCCTCAGACTTCGCACGTGTGCCGTCGCAGCGGTAGCGACTATGATGGCGTCTCTCGCCGTGTCCTCCGCGTTCCTCAGACCTGAATCGCTTCTCTAACTTCTTGTAGAGCCGCCCGCTAGACGTTGCTTTGTTGCGGGATCCCTCTGGGGAATCCGCAAAGCCTGCGGGGGGCTGAACGATGTCAGGTGGCTCGTGTTCTGTCGTCTCACCCTTCCCGGGTTCTCCGTCCTGTATCGGGACACATACACCTCAGAATTACTTCGCCTGAATACAGTTAAAACATTCTCATTCTTCGCAGGATGTGACACTGAAACTTGGACCGAAACGTCGTACACACATAAACACGTATTCATGCCAACATTAAACTGGAACCTCGCAGTTTTGCCAATGCAACATGCGACCAATCACATATTCCTAGAAAGTCATATAAATTCCAGTGACTGCAAGTTTTCGTAATCTGAACTTTGTCCATAAAAGTTAATTACTTCACAATAATTTCATACGAATATACGAATTTAAAAAATGGAACTTCAAAACTGCAGAAAACTGGATGTTTAATTGCATAATGTAGGGTTCAATATTAATCGATATTAAATTTGATTCACGAATTTGAGTTTAATTCCAATTTCATTAAAATCCATGCAAGAATTTTGGAGACAAGACACAAGCTCTAATTATACGCACATTTCATGCAATGAACACGTAGAAAGTACTTGCTTCGTGAAAACAAAACAACGTCACATCAAACACACCGAACACTTAATTAAACATTCAGGTATCAAAATATGCAAACTCTTTTAATAAATAGCATTTATAAATCTCTAGAGTTTTTTTATTTTCCTGTGCTGATCCGTCATTAAACAATCAAGCGTAAATCATATTTTTCTGACGGCTTCCGAAGCTGATTATTAACAATACACATCATGCACGATATACATTGTTTATAAATATTAATCCTTCTACTAGAATTTTGAAAATTAATCCCACCCACCTATCAATCAACAAATAAAATTATGCTGGATTCACAACAGTTTAAATTTCACATCGTCATTTAACATACCGACAAAAGAAACTAACTAATCCAATTTTGGAAAATTAAAAATTCTCGTGAACAGAGATCATCACTGGATATTTTCAAATAATCGCATAATTCTGCGAACAAACATTTAATTAGTAATGTTTATTTTAACATAACCTCAACTAACGATGAAAAATTCATCTTAAAGGATTTCATATTGCTATTATTCTTATATATGAGCCGGGATAGCTCAGTCGGTATAGTGACTACCTACGGGCCTGACGGCCGGGGTTCGATCCCCGACGGGGGCGGAGGATATTTTTTTTTTCTCTAGCCTTTGCGTCCAGACTGGCTCTGGGGTCCACCCAACCTCCTATCCAAAGGTACCGGGGTCCTTTCCCGGGGGTTAAGCCGGCCGTGGGTTCGAATCCCATGCCATGGATGTTTGTCCACGTTTTCCTGTGTTGTGCTGTCCTGTGTAAAGGTAGAGGCCTTGCGACGGGGCTGATCCCTCGTCCAAGGAGTCCTACCGATTGTCTATAGATCAAAGCCAACGAAAAGTGCTCAGGAACTTGAAGAACGGGTCGAGTGTTTATATGACTACGCCTACTTCCAGAACTGAAGAAAACTGTGAAACACGTGACATGGGCCAGTGCGTCGTTGAACCACACACCTCAAGGCCAGCGAGGGTACTGCTCTTGTCCACTTCGCGTCCGCAGTGGTGGCACAAAGTTGTCGTATTGCTGCTGTGGTCTGCCCCCTCGCTGTAGAACACGCTGTCGCTCCCTGGGCTAACAGAGCGCAGTGACTCGGCGCTCAAAGCCTTGAGGCGACTCGACTCGGGACTCATTGCGCCCTGAGCCTGCGACACACACATTTTGCATCTGACATGTTCGCCAGACTCGAGGCTTACAATTAAAAAGATTCGTCCTGCTCAGACTTGCTTTGTTCGTGGGTGTCCCAGATTCATACTCGCGTCTCTGCATTTTTATTATAAATTTCATAATAACATTTATATCAAAATGATGCATTTTCTTTCCAGTTTCCTCATTTGAAGCGATAATTTATTAAATAATTTAATTTGTGTTCACTACAGTTTTCCTAAAAAAACATCGGGCTCACGAAAACTAAACATGGAGATCCAACTGTCGTATTAGTCTCCGTGTTTCGTTCAAACTTCTCTGTATTTATTTTTATTCGTGGTTCTTCACCTACAATTAATTACCATGTTTAATGCTGCAAAGTCTGTTTTGAGTTCTGCATCATTCCAAAGTTAAAATTCCAATTAATTAGACATTCTACAAAAATTATAAAAATTATTTTTTTTTTATTTTTTTTAAAGCTGGGTCACGTGGTTTGGAAACATTTTAATCCATTATCTGCTTTACTCCGCGTTTCTCTGTTAATAACCTGAAACACGTCTTTGTCGTGTTGACGTTTAAGTGCATCAGCACCTAAAAAGCTACTCTTAGTCAATGAAAATGAATTATCCCCCCCAAAAAATGTGCTGTAGAATCGATGAAGAGAGGACCCCAAAAATATTTTGAACACGAATGAACTGAAAATGCAGAACAAGAAAAAATATGGACCAACAAGTAAGGAAATGGGGAGGAGCTATCGGAAGACGGAGACGGAGACGGATGGAGCGTCTTCGTGTCTGAAAACCTAAATGAAGTTGCAGCCAAATTTAGAAGCATTTAACTTTGCTTTTAGAAAACTAAGCCCACAACTTAACACACTCAGTTACTTAGACACTAGATGAGAATATTAAAAATACAAATGTAACAAACTTTGTTATAACACGTCTCATCTTATCAGTAACGCTGTTATCACGTTCTTTAACTCAGATTCTGTCTTGGGTTTACCTTAATAGCCGGAGTCTCACCGGAGGCAGCCATCTGCTTGGGCGAACCCCGCGATCGATGTTTGCTACGACTGGGGGAACCGCCTGGACTCCTGGAGTACCGATGTGGACTGAGGTGGCTACTGCGTAACGTATCCTCACTGTCCGGTCCACTCGCCGGCGCTTGCTGTGTGAGTGGGGACTTAGCCGGGATGGACGAGCGTCGTCGTGTCAGGGCGGCGGTCGAGCTAAGTCCCTTCTCCTCTCCGCTACCGCTCCGACGCCTCAATCTGATTTTACGGGTTCGCGAAGTCCACGTAAGTGATAAGAACATTTCCACAGAAAAAATAAACCACCGATTAAAAAGACACGAACATCCAAAATCCTTCAGAAATGAAACCATAAATGCAGAGAAAATTGTTTCGAGTGAAATAATATCGAAAAGATGAACATCCAAAATCCTTCAGAAATGAAACCATAAATGCAGAGAAAATTTTTTTTCGAGTGAAATAATATCGAAAAGACGAACATCCAAAATCCTTCAGAAATGAAACCATAAATGCAGAGAAAATTTTTTTTCGAGTGAAATAATATCGAAAAGGGCTTCAGAGTGGGAAAATATTCACCTCTGCTGCGTGGCGGTGGGGCTGCGACCGCCCCCCGGTGCAGCTTTCCTGCGAGGAGATTCTCTCACACGCCTGTGTCTGCGAGGTGACTGCTGCTGCTGCTGTGAGGGCGTGCCGTTGCCTGCCTCCGACGCGTGAACGCCACAGCTCGAGTCGTCTGACGTGCCTCCTCCTCCGCCGTTTGCAGCAGGTGTTCCGACTTCATTACCGAGCAGGGTGCCGTCCTCTGGTGTGTGCGCTGGGGTTGTGGTCCTCTGCAGCGTCCCCCAGTCTTCAGTCCGGAACCCCTCGTGCATGGCCGGGCTCCTTACCATCCCCGGTGTGATCGCGTCTTTCTCAGTTTTATCCCGATGGACTTTCTTGTTGCTCGGCTATGAAGTGTAATAGGGAATTACGTACATTATTTCACAATTACGTACTGTTGAGGGCAAAAGTAAATATAATTGCCCTGGAAATAGGAAAAAAAAATATTTTTTTTTACTTTGATACGTCGAGTTTTGTAAAAAAAAAAATTATTACTATCCAAAAGACTTAACTTTAATTTTCAGATATTAACATTAAAACTTGACTTACATTTACTGAAATAAAATATTGTCTTGTTTAATTTTTTTTTTTTTGTTATTAATTTTACTGAAATAAAATATTGTCTTGTTTAAAATTTTTTTTTTTTGTTATTAATTCATACATCACTAATTACACTCTCATTTTAAAAATAATCACTGTAGATTAATATTTAACATCCGGTATTTACGTCTCTTAAAGGGAAAAACTTCATCTTCATGGTATATTTCAATAAACACGCATTTGTCTGACCTGGATGGTTCCCGGAAGAACTGCAGGCGCGCGTCTGTGATGCTGTACGGGACTTCGGCTTCTGGACTTGGTCCTTCTTCCAGGCGCAGACCGCTCCCTTTCCTTGTTCTCAGATCCCGGGGGTGTAGTTTTCTTCTCGCCCAGCCTCTTACTTTCCTCCTTGCCAGATCTCTCGCTCTTACCTGACGATCGCCGACTCCAACCATCACCTTCCTTGAGCTTTCCTGTTAAGAAAAATCATGTCGAATTTTACGTGTTCTTACTAATAAATTGTTGTTGTTTTTTCGTATTCGCACGATGTAATATTTTAATACCTGCAGGAGACGGGGACTCTGCACCTTCCTGCTCCATCATCGGAGAGAAATCCAGCTTGAAGCCTTTCTTACGGCGACGCTTCTCTTCCTCAGTCCACTCGCGCCTCTCTCCACTCGCCGCTCTGCTCCCAGCTGATCCGTAGCCTTCTTCTTTATCAGGCGGTGATTCGTAGTACCCGGAACTACAACACTGGGCACTCTGCTCATCGTCTGAGCCATACTCCGCCTTCGCTGACTTCTGCATCGGTGAATGCGGTGGCGACGTCACTTCCTTGGCCTCCGCTTCGTCGCCACTCCCCTCGACACTGTAACTATTCATATATCGCGACGCCTCGTTACTAAATCCGTCGCGTATTCGAGAAACTTTGAACGTTCGCGCATCTTTTCGAGAAATCGACGTCCTCACCTGCCAGAACTACTGCTGCTCTCGCCACTTGGTGACGTGGCGCCATCTTTTTGCCCTGACGACGACCTCAGTTGCTGCTGGGCTCCTGTCATATCGACACTGACACGTGGGGTTGTACTCGTTTGGTTATCCTCGCTCTCCACCTGCGGTGTAGTGGGTAAATCGCTCTCTTCTTGGATGGGTGGCGGTGAACATGAAATCTACGTCACAAAATACTAGAATAAAGTTATCTTATAAGAAGTCTTTCTGGGAAACTTAGACCTAGATAATATTAAAATGGATCTTGAACGACGTAAACTAGACAAACATCTCAAATCCAATGGACGAACTGCAACTTTAATGTGGGCAAGTCTTAAAATTGCTGCGCATCAAAATATATAACGAAATAAATGTTTTATAACCTGTATAAAGTCGTCGTTGTTAATTTCTCTCGCGAGACTGTAGATCGAAGATGCGCTCTCAAAGGAACTCCCGTCTCCGGCTCCGATACTTCCTCCGGTACCACCGATAGCCGGTACACCTGCGGCATGGGCCAGACTGCGCCGCGAGCTGGTGTCTGTCCCCGAATTATTCGTGTCGTTGGCAGTGACGTAATCTTCCGTGGTACACGTGGAGGTCTCTGACAGGTCAGTTCCTGTCTTGCCACCCGAGTCAGTTCGAGCTAGCACCAGCAGATCTGGTACTGACGGTCCAAAACCTGTATCGATATTCATCCTTTCATCGCCCAAACATTTTCAAAATGCGCAAATTAAAACACGGCAACTTTTATTCCAATTTCTTTACCCTGAACAGCGAGACAGACGCTGAATACAATTCTTACCACGTGTCATGCTTTCTGTTGACTCGAGAGACGACGACTGCTGTTGTGCGGACTCGTGCCCTGAGTCCGGGGTGCGAGCACCTGATATTGGACTCTTTCTATATCTCAACTCTCTTCGCGGGTGACTGGGGCTAGGAGACGTAACTTTGTCTCGTGGCGACAGACTAACTCCCTGCTCCAGACTGGAAAAACAGACGTGAAATTACTTGACAGATGGATGATGGGACTATTTTTGGTTAACAGTCGTCTAGAGGTATCGAAAACGTACTGAGTCCGATCTGATGTCAGTAAAATTTAAATAACACACGAAAGACCTGTCATCAGCGGATACGACAAGCGTCCATTTCTGGACAGCATTTTACGTTAAATATTTACGCCGCAGTCGCCAGACGATGTTCTGCGTACGTATTAAGGCTTTGACCGGGATGTTAAATCTTATGTGGTACCGCCTGATTCGACTTCTAATGGTTAAGTGAAGTGTTTTCTTCGCGGTACGGTCTGGATTCGTAAATATTATGAAGACGAGCTTCGGCTTCAAAGGGTTAACCAGCTGATTTTCGTAATGGTGAGGTGTAGTGTTTTCTTCGCGGTACGGACTGAATTCATAAATAATATTCAGACGATCTTCGGCTTCAAAGGGTTAAAGACGTCATAATAGTGGGATTAAAGTAGAGATGATGAATAACAAACTCTCCACCTGTCAGGAGAAGGAGGCCATCTTCTGATGCCTATTACAGTCTCCTGTATCTGCGGGACTTCCTGGTTAGGTGTTGGCGCTGCCGATGGACTTGGTTTCAGGGACGCCGTGGTTTCGATGCATATCCTGGGTGAAGGAGGGGCCTGTGAGACCTGGAAAATCAAATGAGTTTCACCCAAAACTCAAAAAAAAAGGTGATGAAATGATGATCTCCACCATAATCGTCATCGTCAACATATAATTTCTTCGAAATTAGTGTCGTTTAACTGGCACTGATTTTATGAACCCAAAGGTCACAAGATCGTTCCCTGAGCCAGCTGAATTCAATCTAAAAGTCACCAATCAATTTTAGTAATATAATCACATCTGTACCAAAGTTCTCGCAAGTGATATTTGACCTTTCGATTTTAGATTCAAAATTTTGTATACCATTTCTCTTTCCCCCAAGACATAATTTATGAAGTTTATTTTCATAATTTCCTTCACCACTTTTATTAGTTTATCTCTCCTAGGTCCAAAAAAATTTTCTCAGCAATTATTTTCAAACTTTCTTTAATTTATGATTGCTTTTGAAATTGTTAATTTTTAAACTCCCTAGTTTTCTTGTGGCGTTGTTGATGATTACCAAAATTTCACACAATAAAAAAAAAACTGAATGACCAAATCACGAGGTGTCTGTACCTGAGCATCGAACTCCCCTTCCAGTTCCTCGTCCAGCGCCTCGGTGTCCATTGAGCTGCGTTGCTGGTGCTGCAGAAGTAGGAGTTGTTTGCGTCTCGATGAAGGCGTGAGGGCCATAAGAGCGACGGATCCTGCAGCCGACAGGGAACTGAGTTCGGCCCCGCTCAAGGCATTTACGTCGGCGTCGGCTACCTGCAGCACCTGCATGAGGCGATGACATTTTGAAAAAAAAAAAAAAATTAAAAATATTCAATCTGAAATTATGTAATAAAGAAATATAAAGATAATTATATACATTTCATACTATTCGCCTTACATATTTAGTGATTAAATCAAGATGGAAAGGTTAATAACACGTCAAGCACGTGACGAAACAAGAAACAAACACGAAAATCATCGAAATTTATCTTTCTCACTGCTCTAACCTAGGAAAAGTATTACATGCGATATATAAAAGGAATTAAAATGGAAATGGGCTATATTTATATATTATCTTGCAGAGAAATGCAATCGAAACATCGATGGCTCGGCATTGCCGATGGTTTAGTAATGGACTGCGCTTAAGAAGCGATGTAAGGACGATAAAGGTTAAGATTTGGTTTTATATTTACATAAATAAAGAATTATGTTTATATTAGACAGTGTTTGCTTTATGTTTCAATATTTCATTTCTCGTATTATTATAATAATTAATATTATTATTATTATTATTATCACTGTTGTTGTCATCATTATATTTGTCATTGTTATCATTAATCATCAACATTATTTATTTCGTGGCTTCAACAATTATCTTCTTTGGTTTATGCTTCTTGATTCAGTCTTTTGTTATTTGACAATGCACTGGTAACAGAATTTTTGAAAAAATGAGCTGGATATAAGATGTGGTCTATTCTATGGTACCTGAAAAGACTGGGGAAAACCACGAGAAACTTCTTTCAGAACAAATTCATCAGAGTCATTGGCCGCTATTCAAAATTTCTTGCCAAATTAACTGGCAAATATTGTAGACCCAGGTTCAAATTAATTTTCATGTAGCTCTAATATTTTCAATCTTTGCACGTAATTCAACATGTACATAAAATTTTTGTAATATTTTGGAAACTGGTTCTGTCTTTGTCTCCAAGAAGAATATACGACAAAATGTCTGCGGCCAAAGAAATGTTGGATTAATTGATCGTGGACTGAAACTTGTAGATAAAATTTCCTGGAGGAATATAATTTAATCGTGACAATACACAATATCCGAAGAAAACAGACAGAACTTCTGTGGTTACATTTTAAATGCTCTTCCTACCTACCCCCTCCCCCAGGCTCCGAGTTGCGTCCGTGTTCTTCTTTATTAAATTTAACACGTCCTCGAGAACCATCTGGAATTGTCAGACGCGGATCACAATTTCTTCAAGAAAGCTTTCAGCTCACCGTGGCCTGCGATTCGTTCCAGATTCCGTCACTATGATCGCGCAAGTCATTTGCCAGAGAGTCGCTCGAGGCGAACAGAGAAGATGGCTGTGTCAATGGCGTCGTAGATGGCAGCAGCTCTGCGTCCTTGCGTGTTTTCTCCTGTGACTGAGGAGGACTCACGTCAACCTCATCCTTCTTCTGCAAACATTACACAATACGTGCAATACCGCTCAGTGGGACTTCAACATTTTTTGTGGTGATTTTAGGAACATGGTTCTTATAACGCTAATGTATTCTTTAAAACAACAAAAATGCGTAAAATGAATGGAACGTGGTAAGGTTATGTATATGCTCGTCTGCATGTCTCATGTCCCGAAGTATCTCACAGTTTTTGATAATATGGTGTATGTACATCTTCGAAATAAATCATTTTCCATGATTTTAGTTATTGTACGCTGTAATCTTTCCCTTTTCCCTCGAAGCAAAGAGTTACAAATTGCTCCCTTTTGTTGGGTCCAGAATGAACATGTCTCCAAAAAATTTCTCTCCTGTAAAGTCTGAAGAGAAGAAAAAATTATTCTTTGTCTAAAAGATTCCCCACACATATAATTCCCCCCCCCTTTTTTTATTTCTTAAACTTTTGGATTCAGAGACGTGATTTTTGATCATCAATTCAATCCAAATGAAAATATAAGACACAATTTTGGATAAGCAGCGTATCTTAGGTTTAATTTTGGTTTTTTTTTTTTGGGAGAGTGAAGCCGATGTTTAAAATCAGCTGTCTTGTTGGCATGAACCTATCACAAAATCTCTATTTTCGTAACCAAATTTTGTCACGAAACACTTTCCATTTCCAGAAAGAACAGCCCGCAGACGTACGTTACTAAAACACGGCACTTCGTGTGTAATATTGGTAGCCCTGTTTCCAGGAACGTAATTTCAGCCCCCATTCTCGATTTAAGGGACCAAATAGTGTTCATGTCTTGATGATCGTGTTCGTTCCTTAATAATTGTTCCTACTGAATATTTAAGTAAAATTACGGAAATGTAATGAAAGAAGCAGTGATGAAGTGGTAATTATAACAACAAAACAATGACGACAACAACAACAACAACAACAACAACAACAACAATACCAAAATTACGTGTAGCCAGCCACCTAATAAATTCGAAATAAATAAATCTGTAAAATAACTTCAACAAACGAACAAACATTTGGCAGGAAAATCATCGTGAAATACTCCGACGAATATAAAAATACATTAAGCTAACAATTAACGCCACATGAGAAAGCAATTAAAAATAAAATATTATTCTTCACAACGGCCGCTCACTCCCCGTAGCTGATAACAACACCAAACATCCCCTACAATTGATGCAACGCCGTCAAATAACATTTACCACCTGTGGGACCGTCTGTTCCTCTTCCCGCTCCAGGACGTCGACCTCCTCCTCCTCCTCCTCGCTAATTTCCTCTCGATCTTGATGCACCCCGGGAGGGGCCGACCGCGCCTCGGACACCTCGTCATCGGGTTCCTGCTGCTGCTGCTGTTGGAACACGGCGATGTCCGGGTCGCTGGCGGTGGACGACATCGCCGCGTCTTCCAAGGACACACTTCGCTTACGAAACAGGCCGCCATAGATGAGGTTCTCGTGAAACTCGTCCTCCTGCCGACAAACCTCCGGATTCAGACCGCCCCCCTCTCTGCGCTAGACTGCGTTTAATTTACTAATTAACCAACCGATTAATTCGCTGCTTAATTATTCCAAAATTCACACACGACGCAGGTTCAGGGATAGCAAAATCCGCCAATCTTCGACACTCACTATCTGCTTTCTCTGGTTTTCAGTACTACCAATACCCGTTAAAATTCAAGGCGGAACGATAAAGTTTTTTTTTTTTTGGAGACAGCTGTCTTCTGTTGCGTCGAGTTGCGGTCCCTGCTGCCTCCATCATCAAGGCGAATTATGATGGAAGCAGCAAGTGCCTCTGAAACGTCGGTAAACTCGGCGCAACAACCCAGAAGAGATCCATCTTTTGACTCACCTCAAATCCTACAAGACAACAATTTTTTTTCGTACAACGCGCGATCTTCGACGGTTTCAAATGAAATTCTTCATAATGTCAAAAATGTCGTTTAATATGTTTTATACGACGCACTAAGGTTCACGGACATCCATTTGTTTATCTTAAAAAAAATTGTCCTGGGTTTACCACTCGCAGAGGAACATTTTTTTTTATTTGTAGTTTTATGACGCATTATTTTACCCGAGTCTGTTTATGTCTCGTAAACAGACAGAAATTCATCGCAGATTTCCCGTAAGTCGTGAACTCGGATGCGTTTTACTGTAGTACGAAAACTGGAATTTTCGCGGTTAATAAGAGGCAGGAGTTGAAGGCAGGACAGGGTCCGGTGGAGGGCTTTGGTTAATTCGGTGATGAACCTTTTGGGTTCCTTAAACCGTCTAGTTAGTTAATTAAGAACACTGGAACTATCCGAGATACCTGTTGGTCCTCCGTGAGCGGAGGACTGGTCCCCCCCGCCTCCAGGTCGTCTGGTGTTGACGAGAAGAGTGAGGCGGGCCTCTTTTCAAGGGGCTCCAAATAGCCGTCGTGATCTTCCAGATGGCCAGGGTAGCACGACCCGTAGTCGCTGTCCTCTTGTACATCCGCCTCGCCCTCAAGTCCGTCTGGGCCGTCATCCGCCAACAGGTCAGCGTCCGCGGTGCTGTTAAACGCGCTGCTACGACGACGTTCTACCAGGATCTCACCTGCAGAGGAAACTGGTCACTTGTCTCTCAGGACTGCTAACCAGAAACGCAGTCAAGCTGGTGGTTTCACGTGAACAACCCAGAACTAATTTTTGTGTCGTGAGGGCCAAACGCTTAAGGCAAGTTTCGCGCCGAAGCAATTAGCAACGGGTAAAACGCAAAATATTCTACTCATAGGACGAAATAGCAGTTCATTTCAAGGTAAAACGCAAAATATTCTACTCATAGCAGTTCATTTCGCGTTGTCAAATATTAAATTTCTACGAAGAAATTAATTCCAAGAATTCTAAATAATTTCACGTTACGATACTAAGAATGAGAATAAAATTAATTATAAACCCTTTCCATGTACGGAAAGATTACTTAAATCAACTTCATTGTTACGATGTACACGAAACAAAAGACTCCGGAAAATTAATTAAGTCTGAAACGAGAGCTTACTTTATTGTTATGATACTTTGCGCAAGTCATTCACCGGGAACTTTATTAAAAATAAACCGATAATTTATTCATTACAGTAATCTCATGAACATATTTCCGTCACTTACGGCTACGAACCAATCATCACTTTGCAAGCAACAAGACTACGATTTAAATCGATCAATCGATCCTAAGCAAAAAATCGATTACTATCGTCTATCACCTAAATTAAAAGAGGAGAGAAACTGAGCTAGCTGGATGTTAGACTGTAAGCCTGAACTTGTATTTTGGAGGTGCAAGACTCGAATCCTGACAACGCTTCTCAAGGTCTTCCTCAGATTCTCCAGGCGACTGCGTCAAACAGATAAAGATCACTTTGTTTCAGATCCTATCGAAAGCCGTGGTGTAGTGATTCGTATTTGAGAGGTATCCGGATCGAATCGAAAAGGCCTAGCAACTTTCTGTCTCGGCGTTTTTCTGTCTGAATAGCAGGACTTCGGGGTAGCGCCTTAAAACAACCGAAGACTGCCCCTTTCATAATTATTTCCGCCTGACCATTCATCTTTCCATGTCATCCGACGTTAAAATAACCTTTAAAGATGAAATAAACAATCCTAAGAGTCGATAAGTCAAATCATCGGTCGCTCTACCATTTTCAAGCGCAACGCTAACAGACGCTCACCTTCGAAAAGGCCTAGCAACTTTCTGTCTCGGCGTTTTTCTGTCTGAATAGCAGGACTTCGGGGTAGCGCCTTAAAACAACCGAAGACTGCCCCTTTCATAATTATTTCCGCCTGACCATTCATCTTTCCATGTCATCCGACGTTAAAATAACCTTTAAAGATGAAATAAACAATCCTAAGAGTCGATAAGTCAAATCATCGGTCGCTCTACCATTTTCAAGCGCAACGCTAACAGACGCTCACCTTCGGACAAAGTCTTTTGTAACACTCGTTTTTTTCCACGTCGCTCTGCCCTCTGCGGTTCGAAGTCGATGAAGATTTCTTTGTAGGTCTTAGAGGATTTCTTCTTGGCAGACTCCGTCTGCTGCGCTGGGGTATGCAGCGTCTCTGTGGTGGAGGGAGGTCCCGTGGTTCTGGCACCCTGGGGCTCAGACAGGTTGCTCAGACTCTCAGGTGGCGTCGTCACGAGGAACGGAGATCTCGGGGGCTCTTCGGATTGAGTCCGGTGTAACGGCTCGTGTTCTGACCCTCTCCTTACGTCTTCATACCCGTCCATGGGGTAGTGGTAGGGGTAGCCGGCGCCGACAGACGTCGAGACGCCAAACCTTTCTCCAGCTTCCGAATAGCTCTTCATCAGGCGTCGCCCCGTGTTGTTTCCGTTGGTCTGCGCCCCTTGTGACACCATGCGGACCCTATGGATGGTTCGGGGGCTCAGTGACAGGTAGGTCGGTGCAAGTGGTTTGCGCCCCAAACACACCTCCGTCTGTGTCGCCTCCGTCTTCATGAGCGCTCGTTTGACTTTTTCTACGAGAAAGGACAACTGTGATTTGCTCTAATGCAAGCATAGAACCCACCTTAAACTACTGGTGATTTAGAATTTAGAATTCATTGGTCCAGGACGGAGTCCACTTGTGGGCTTTTGTGGACACGGTGATGAACATCCTGGTTCCGGAACACCCTGACCAGATTAAGAGCTATAATAAACTGTTTCAAGTTCCTGAACTGCGCAGGAAGTCAGCTGAGTTCACTCACCCATAACGACGACTTTGGGCGACTCGCCCACCGCCGAACCGCCCAGCTGCTGTTCGCCCAGGCTCTTCTTCCCGTCGATGAGTCTCTCCTGGCTGCGGGCGAGTACCACGGGCTTACTGCTCACGGCGTCGTCAAACGAGGTTAGAGTATACGAGCGGCCGAAGCTGACATGTTTCGTCCGATGTGGGGGCGCTGCCTCGTGGTGGTGGGGCAGGGCTGGGGGCGGTGGAGGCGGAGGCGGCAGGTCAGGATGCGCGGGACATGGACCTGCCAGGAACTCAGTGCTGTAGCTCAGGTAGTGACTGTGGGCAGGATAGCGGGCCAGACACGACCCAGGGCGGCGCGGATAATGGAGAATCCCATCATATTCTCCGTCAAGAATCGGGCGAGGCCTTTCCTGTACACATAGTAGACAGATAATCGCCGAAGCGGAACGCTTGCGCGACGCCGGCTAAATTTACCCCAGACAAGTCTCCAGTTGACACTGGAGACAAATCTGGAACACCGGCGCCGAGCGTCGGGACGCCATTACAAGTACCAGGAATGTGACTCAAACCATTGGGATGGCATTGTGAGCGACATTAGAAAATAGACGCCCGGCCTGATTATAATAACAACCAATGACCTGGGGCGGACAAACTCCAGACATGTTGTGTATCTTTTCTCAGACAATAAGCAGTGTCTATCGTAATAAAATTTTTCATGAATATAAATCTATTTACACAATTTTTTAGATTATCGGTAATTGTTATTTATTACTTGTACTAATTGCACTAAATTAACGCAAATTGGGGAGGTCACGTATTCTTTTCCTTTGCAAAGTTAATCTTTGTAACTGAGGAACGTCATGTTTTCTTTGAGGTAATCAGAGCTTCGGCTTCAAGGGAACAACACATTGAACACTCTGCCGTTCTTGTGCAAGACCCAATGGAAACTTTGTGCCTCAACTGGGGTCCAAACCCCTCCCAACGGCGCTCTGTCGATTGACCTCCTGCATAAAATCGAGGTTCTAATGTGAGTTACTCGCATCTCATCACTTCCAGACGTAATTCCGTCCCTTTTCGCCCCTTCGTGGACTTAATTTCCTTAAACTCTCTTCACGCAGTCGGAGTTTGCCCGAGCAGAGACAAGATTAGCGGAAATTGTATATAAAATGACGTCAGTAACCAAAGTGTTAATAAAAGCATCGCGCGGTGCAGCTGTACTGAGACCAGGTACAGAATTATCAGAACGTATTTTACAATTTATTTCAAAGTATCCAAAAATTTAGTAAAGCCACATATTTACTAAATAATCCGGAACAAATATTACAGGGTAACGGAAAGGTAAAATTTGTCCCTGTGCTTAATTAATCATTACGCCATGAAGACGCATGGGGGGGGGGAGTCAATGTACAGCTCCACGTATTTTTAAATTCGGCGCTCAGAAGAAGTATAAGTGGCCAGCTCTTAGACCACAAACGTCATCTTATGAGCTTTCAGTCATTTCAATGGATCGCACGTTACTTAACTGCAGGGAGAGTCAGAGGAAAACCAAATAAACCTCAGGGCACCAATTAATGCGGTTTGATTCGTATCAACTATCATCCAAAGTAAACAACGGACAGAAAAATAATGGGATATTTGCATGAAAAGACGCTGAAAAATCAAGGATAGTCGATTTCCTGGAGAAGATTCAAAAACGGTAATTTCTGAACAAAAAAACATTA